GAGGAGGAGGAGGAAGAGAAGAAAACCCACCACCAATAACAACTACAAAAACTCCAACCTTCCCTTGTCTTCTCTCCAAAAAGACAAGCCATCACACTGCTATTTACTTTTTCCACTCACTCCTACTGCTCCTTATTTTTGTATGTGTGGGGGGGAGGGGTTCCCTCAACTGCATTTCCTCATCTTCTCCACATTTGTTCCACACTACCTGGCATTCAAATCCCAGTTTAAATTCTCTTCCTCCATAACCTTCCCTTATCTGCTGCTGAACATCCTCTCTTATCTGCTGGGCTAATGTTTTAGCTACAGTCTTTACATTGTTTCAAGAGTGCTGGCTTTCTCGGGATCTCTGGTTAGCTCCTTGAGGGCAGGGACTTTATCTTAGAATCCTGCTGTGCGCATTTTGCCTTGTGTTCAGCCTGTGAGTAATCACATTCAGTTCACACTGGCAAGGCATATCTGAGGGAAGACATCCACCACAGTTACTCGTTTAGCAAAAGAGATAACGAAAACCCAGGTGCTAGTCAAAGGTGAAGCATTACTATTAATTCCCTCATTCATCATACATATAGGGCAGCCTCAGCCGGGAGGAAGCCCAGGACTGCAGCTTTGGGGGGGGGGGGTAGGCAGATAAGCCTCAGATCTCTCCATTTTGGAGCGATTCATGGAGTAAATAGACTCCACTAGGGGTCTCCGACTGAATTAACCTGGGATGGCCCCTTCCCTGAGGGGAATAGGTTATCTTGTACCTCTGAAAATAAACCCACAATTCCAATCACAAGATACTATTTGCTCATGAATTCTGCAAGACTTCCTTGTAAATTATTGAAACTCAGATTTTTTAGTTTGCAAAAGAAAAGTAACTACCAGGATAGATAACTACCCTTTGCCGCGTTGTAGAGTGCATAGAAAAATGGAGGTTATATTATTACGTTAAAACTTTTGCTTAAATTTTAGGATTGCTTTCATTTCTTAGGACAAAAGACTTATTTTATTTTTATTTATTTTCCAAAATAAAATGAGTATGGGAGTTTCCCGGAGGGCCTTTCAGGGTGCAAAGCCACCACACCTCTGGGGCTCTCTTTGCAGGGGTGGCAAAGCTCCCCAGGGGACGCGGTTGACTCTGCCATTGCCAGGCGGCGGCGTCGCTGCAGGAAGAGGGCACGGTTTTGATCTTTCTGTCGCTTCCCTCACCCCCCACCGCTCAGACGGCCAGGTGACAATCTAGAATCAAGGCTGGAGACCGGGAGGGTCACTTAGATTGTTAGGGGACCCACAGTGGTCCCCAACCCGCGCTCCCCGGGCCCATCCAGTTCTGCTTCTGAGGTGGAAGCGTGGAGGCCGTCCGCTGCATCCCCCGCAGGTCCAGTACCCGCGTCCACCCTGCGGGAACCCGGCGCGTCGCGGGCAGTCCACCTGCGCGTCTGGCGCGTCTGAGCCACGCAGCGAACCAGGCCCCAGGCTCTGGTTGTCATGGGAACCGGGCGCCAGTCTCCCGGGCGACCTCGTTCAGCAGGGGAGGGGGCGGGCCCGAAAGAGCTAGCGACCAATCAAGTGGAGAGGAGCGCAGGGTCAGCGAAACGCGCGGCTCAGGAGCCTTGAGTGACAGCCCGGGGGCGGGGCCGGCGCGGCCGCCTGAGGTGTAGCCCGCGGAGGGCTGGAGTCGCTCGGGCGGCCGCGGCGCGGAGCTGACACACCATGGTCTCTGGCCCCGGGGACCGTCGTGCCGGCGAGCAGCAGCGCCCCCGGGCTCCCCGCT